TGGGATTAAAACACTGAATTTGTGAGTGGAGATTAAAAAATATGTTTGTCATAACATGCAAGGGGGTTCAGAAAGATATTTGAAGTTTTACAGCGATCCCAGACCAATTTTTTTAAAGGAAAGAAAGTGTAACGCTATCTGATTTTTCTTAGTTCTGTGTAATGAAGAAAAATGATCCRAAAAGCTCAAATGTTTGAGTTAAACATTCTGCCGGCTTGAAAATAAACAATATTAAAAATTGATTAACTACAAACRAACAGGGCATCTAAAATTAATGCATGCGTTAAATACACAAGTATGAGTCCGTGTACTGATTGTGGTATGCAGTTTATATAAGTGCAAGTCTGTAAAAGTTCATTTTTGCTGTTCACTGCATGAAAGATAACAAGCTATCATTTAAGATTTATTCTCCGGCAGATCCAGTAAAAAAACAGCTGCACATTCCACAGCGTCTGCTTCACAGAGACAGAGTTTCTAACCACATGACTGAATGAATGGAGGCATGAGTGTGTGAGAGAATGGAGGGGAGGATGGTTTGAGTGAAAAGGCCATTATRATGTGTATCGGTTACATAGTCAAAGAAGCCTTGAGGCCTGAAATCCAGACTAGTCACCAGTTAAGTTTTTTTTTTTTTAAACTAGAACACCGAGATAAGAAAGGTGTTTCAGAAAATGACTTTCGGTTGCTTTTAAGCAGAGCTGTGGCCCAACTGATTTGAGTTAAATTAACAAAAATATAATTTAAATAAATAATGTTACAAAACTCTTCGAAAAATAATGAATAATGAAAGTGTTCAAAATTTTAAAAGTTGATCTGGAAACAACCAAATGAATATTAATCAAAGCAGAATGTGCGATTTAAAAGACAACATRTGTTTTAACAGCTTTGCCCAACGTCTTCTTGGTCCGTTTTTTTTTTTTTTCACAATCTCTGTGGAACCTGCTGTGGAGGCTGGTGGCAGACTGACACCACTTGGCATGTGCAGCAGGAGGGGGAACTGCTCCTTTCAGGCCATGCCAACAGTGGCAGCGTCCCTCCAGCACCAGGATGGGGGGGCTTTATAAGGCCTACAACCCCACCCTTTCCATCATGTCATTTTAGGTCGTGTTCACACCTGACACATTTGGTCTGCTTTAAACGAACCAGAGTTCGTTTCCAGCGTTGGTCCGGACTTTTTGTGCAGGTGTGAATGCACTCATGCGAACTCCGGTACTCCGAGACCTGTTTTTGAAGTCGTCTCCGTCCGCTTCCAAACAAACTCTGGTACGGTTCACTTCAGTTCGCTTCTGGTGTGAATACAGACCGGACTTGAACCAAATGCGTCTTTTGGACTTCACAGGTCACCGTTGCTGAGCTAAATAAACTGAAATCATGCCTGTTTCGTCGTCTCCTGCATCTCTGCTGCCAGCATGTTGTGGGTCAGAACACGCCGAGCATCTCGTCTCCTTTGGGTCGCGGGACACATTTACTGACGSCATTCCAAAATTAGAATTTCATCACGAAACCACCATTAAATTAACAGTTTTTGACATTTTAAATGCTATTGCAGTTGTACTMTCAGTAAAAATGTGCACATCAGAACYGCAGCATGCAGGACGTCCATGTTTTTTTCTGGGTCTGTGCTCTCAGTCCTGCCCCCATTCTTTCTGTCCAATGGGAGCAATGATCATCAGCCTCGTGGCTTTGTTCACAAGTTATAGTTTGTTTGCAAAAAAGCACAATGTGAATGCAAACCGCACCAAACGAAAAAATAAAGTCCACTTTTGTTCCGGACCAAACAAGTGKACSAAAGGACKTACCTGGTGTGAACACACCCTTGTACTACAGGTTTATCTAGATCTCTAACAGGAACATGGAATTTGAAACTGGAATGGGGCTGATAGTCCTGCCACCCTAACAGCATGATCTTCATCATTTTGGATTAAGCAGGAGTTAGAATGATCAGAACACATTTCATTGGACGATTGTTAATGATTTATATCATTTTGGATGGACGAAGCAGCATTTCTTGATTCCCTGTCTTCTGTTTCAGATCTCAGGCCCCTGAGTGTCACTAACCATGAGCAGTGCAGCCAACATCAAAGTCATATCTCAGAGCCAGAGTGATGCAGGTGTCATTTCAAGTCGGCCGTTGCCTCAAAGCACGATGCCCCTCCCAAAGATGGATCCCAAACAACAGCACGGCGGCCTCCCCAATCCTGCAGCGCAGCATCAGCACGCTGCTAAACGACACCCTGCGTTATCTTCATCATCCTCTTCCTCGGGCCCTGCAGACCTGCTGAGAGGTCGGGCTTTAAAAAACCAGCTGCTGCAGCTAAAGACAAGCACGTATTCCAGCAGAGGCCCAGCAGCCACAGAGAGAAGTGACGGGACGTGCTCGGCCTACAGCAGCCCTCGGGCACCAAAGAAGGAGTACTCACATTCTAAAGACACGTTGGACCTCCCCAACAGCCCCGCGACTCAGAAGGCCTTGAGAGACCTGCAGTTTAGGAGAAACACAAACAGGAACTGGACCTTTGGGAAGTGTCGCCTCAGTAACGTGGACAATGCACGGGAAAGGGACGCCTTGCAGAAGCTGTCCGCCGACATTCAGTCGGGCCACAGGAGCGGACGTCTTCTTTACAYCAAAGGGCCAAACGGGAATGAGATGCCGAGGCGTTCTTCAACTGGACTGGAGCATTTCCAAAAACACGCRAGGAACATATCAAACCAGGATCTGACAACCTCTGACAGAGACGTGCTCRGTAATAAATCAAAGGATTCTTATCTGACTTCCAACCTGAAACGCAGAGGGAGCGAGCCRGCCAAAATAACCACGGCTGCTGTTGCTCCGTTTAGATTCAGGTGAGGGCAGTGTTTCACCTATTTATGATGGAGAGATAAGCAGGAGGCTGATTTTTTTTTTTTTGGGGTGGTTGGGGGGGTTTGAGGAAAAAATTATACTCATAGCAACTCTTGGCTTTCAGTTTGTTTCTGTGTCTGTTAAAATGTTTGTGGTGTTTTGCAGGTTCCAGGTCAATGAGGACACAGAAGCCACCCTCGATGATCTGAGTGACTGCTCCTCTGATTCCATGGAGGTCTGCTGTGATGATTTAGGTGAGTTTACATCTTGTTTGTTCCAACTACAGACCACTGAGATCACTGAGGCTCTAAGTCATTTATTCCTAACCTTGGATTTTGAACATAAAACAAATGTGTTTTTCACCTTGGCAATCATGTAATACATCTWTTGAGGCCTCTGGATTTGTACTTTTACTGAATCTGATGGCTGAGATGCTCTTGATGTAAGATGTTTGGGTGAGAGGCGGCACGACGGCTCAGTGGTTAGCACCGACGCCTCACTGCAAGAGGGTCATGGGTTCGATCCCAGCTTCAGACCTGGGGTCTTTCTGTGTGGAGTTTTCATGTCCTCCTCCTGCTTGTGTGGGCTTTCTCTGGGTACTCCAGTTTCCCCCACCCCCAAAAACATGTACAGGTTGGCCTCAGGTCCAGGCCTCCCTTGAAAAAGAAATCTCAACAGGACTTGCCTGGCTAAACAACAATAAATAAATAAATAAATAAATA